CTTCACTTACTGAAAAAGTTCTGTCCTCTCTCAATTCTTAGCTGAGAGCAATGTGCACATTATTTGCTGACTTGGGTGCTGTTCTGTGAGTTCGTGTATTTAAAGCTTGTGAGGGAGCCAAGCCACAGGGTCTGGCTGGCTTTCAGCTGCTAAACAGGGGGCATGTAACTTGCCATTGGTCCCCAACTGAGAGAACTGTGGATGTAATTTCTTTTTGGTAAACATTCATCCTGAAGGGAATTTATCTCTTCTACCCATTTGTTTTCCTTTGGGTGTTTTCCTTCTGTTGCCTGATCCTCACTCTTTTGGACATGAGCACTTCTGCAGTGTTACTTATCCTCTCAAAACAATGAAAAATTACTTTTGCAAAGCTGTTTAAGTCAGAGGATGTAAAATGGATCCCAGCCAAACCAGCAGTCACCATCCATCAGAGGTAAGAAGAGAGACTTCTAATACCCCTTGGACAACTAGCAGTCCATGCTGGGACTGAGGTGGGCAGCAGAGCCCTGGGGCTGGACTTGCGATGCCGTCGGGGGATATGGTCCAGTCTTTTTTCTGGTTTGGCTCTGAGTTGGATTGATTCATGTGATTGCTTTGAGGAAGATTAAGAAGATAGACTCTTGCTCTTTTGGTCTCATCAATGTTCTTTGTTATTTGTTACCATCACGGCCACTATCACTGCCACCACTGCCCTGTGTTGAATATTCACTGTGCTGTGACCTGAACTAAACTTTGTGTTAGTGTTTAATCAAAACATCCACATAATCGGGTAGGAATTCCTGTTTCTCACATTCTGTAGATGAGAAACCAAGCCTTAGAGAAGATGTCAGCTGCGAGGCTTTGGATAAGTTGTAGCAGCAGAACTAAGGCTGAAATCTAGGCTTAGTCACACAGTGTGTTTTTAACCCCTGTGGTCTATGCTGCATTGCTCTCCTATACCGAGGTGATTGTTGGAAAGTATCCACCGCTTTTTTTTTTCTTTGTGGAGACAGAGTCTCACTCTTTTGCCCTTGGTAGAATGCCATGGCATTGTTGTAGCTCACGGCAACCTCAAACTCTTGGGCTCAAGTGATTCTCCTGCCTCAGCCTCCCAAGCAGCTGGGACTACAGGTGCCCCACAACTCCCAGCTGGGTTTTTCTATTTTTAGTAGAGGTGGGGTCTCACTCTTGCTTAGTCTTGAACTTCTGAGTTCAAGCAATCCACTCACCTTAGCCTCCCTAATTGCTAGGATTATAGGCACGAGCCACCACGCCCAGTTGGAACTTACAACTTTTAAATGTTCCGTACATAAAATTTGGAATGGCATTTCTAGTTCCATTACTACTACTAATAATAATCTAAGTACCTTTAGTGAAGGGAATCAAAAGTTTAGGCTAGAACCATGGTGATGGAGAAACCTTTATAGGATAATTTGAAATACTTTGAGACTAGATTTTTAGTATCTCATTTAAAATAAATATGACATTTCAAAAGAATAGGCAGCATGTGTTTATGTAGAGCTAATTGTATATGCAAATTTTGTCAGCTAAGCAGAACAGCTGTTAACTATATACTTTTGAAAAGGATAAGGGATGGTCTAAAAAGGTTTAGAGAACATAAAGTTGATGCGGAACCTGGTAGCCAACTATTTTTCTTTCTGTGAGAAGCTGTACTTAAGGAACCACAGAAGGGGCTTTGGAGTTCAAATAAACAAGAGCTCCTTGGTGTACTTAAGGTTATTAAGATGTATTAAGTATTCTCCTGGGTCTCTAAAATGCTTTTTCAAGGATAAGTGGATATAGACACATTTTAAGGCATATGCATATATATAGAGTAGATGAACGCTCAAGGTCCTGAACTATACTAATATTTATGGTCAAGATTTTTAGAATTTGACATTTGCCATTGGAGTAAACAAAACACAATTGGACTTGTGTGTACTCAACCATTTAAACTTTAGTTGCACACTGGTAGTACAAAATATTTGAACAGAGGATTAATGATGGCTGGCCCCTGGTTTGGTATCTGAGGGGGTTTCCCTTGCCACCACCCTTCCTGAATTCTCCCTAAAATACTTATAAGGATGGAATGGGTAATATTTTAAACTAAAAAGTAACAGTCAATCTGTTGTCATGATTCAGAGGGGAGGTCCAGCAACTGAATGGTAAAAAGACTGAATTGAAAATCATAAATGGAGGGTTATTTATATTATGCCACTGATGACTATTCCCACATGAAAGCTAGGAAATGGCTTCCTCCACTCTCATCCAACTGGCCCCTGGGTTAAAAATGAAAAATCCGAAACAATTAGAAAGCTGGACAAGTATCCTTTTGTGCCATGGCCTGTGCTTTATAACAACAACAGAATGATAATTATAGCTAATAGTGAATGCTTATAACATTCCAGATGTTATAGTAAGTATATCGACAAAGTACTGCACTAATTGTATAGGGAAGATATTATTTCTAATTTCCACATGAGTAAATGTGGTGTAATAGTAATTCATATTAGCTGTGTGGTTTGAGTGAGTTAAGGAAATGTGGCTAGGATTTGAATCCACGCAGTCTGGCTTCAGAGCCAGTGGTTCTAAGGACAAGGATAAACTGTCTATGAAGCCAGATTCCTCTTTCTCTCTAAAGACTGTTGGTATTACTCTTCCTACAAATATTCACCAACACCCAGAAAACAAACACGTAAGGAGGTGGTGGTAGCACATTGTGTCCTGGAAATTGTGGTTCTCTTGAGGAATGTTAAGTCAGGGAGATGATGGAAAGAACCCTGATGGAAGTACATGTTAAAGATTATAATTATTTCCCTTTAGTGTGTTAGAGATCCAGACACCAGCTAAGAGAAAGTTCTATGCCGAGCAGAGATTAGTTCAACATAGTTGGAGTAAAGGAAAGCAGCCTAAAACTGGATAATGAGGTTGGAGGATGAGCAAATGAAGTGCTTGGGATGAAAATGGAATTAATCAACACACAGGTGAGTGGGGGGCAGTCCCCACAATTAATCATCTGTTAGATATGAGCAGACCTTTTTCATTCTTTATTTTTCTTGTCTTGAAGAAAAGCAAAAAATGAACTTATGTAATGGTTATTGTAGACTAAGAGAGAACTCATTCTAGAATTTAACAAATTTCAGAATTCAGATATTAAATATCTCATATATATAAGAACTGAGTAAAAATTATGGCAACGTTTGTCCCTAGTAGAATGTAGAGAAGACATAGCATTCACAAACTAGGTAAGAAAGTAAAAGTGAATAGGCTGAGAAAAAGGGATGACATGGTCAAATTAAAAGAAGTCAGGTGAGGTAAAGAATTAGAGCAAACTTCAATATAGAGTAGCCAGATAAAAATGTAGAGTGTCAGGTACAGAACTGAGCATCTGAGAAGTGGAATAATGATATGGAGGAAAAACTTGGGCAACTCGAACAGAATTTTGAACATAAAGACATAGTCATGAAAATAATGATGAAAAAGAAGATAGACATTAACAACAATAACCTTGAATTGAAAAATGCCCTGGTTTGGGACTTTACCTAACAAATGCAATCAATGTTACCTGGTTTCTTGTACCCTCCATGAATCCCCAACAATAAAAAAAATTAAAAAAAGAGCTATAGGTGAAAGAAGGGTCAATACAGAGACACAGTCTGGCATAAAATATGTGAAAGCAAAGGATAAGTAGAAAATTCTACAAGCATCCATGAGGACAATGCTTTCTATTTAAGGAATAAAAATCAAAATCAAAGTACCCTCAGACTTTTAGTTTTAATATCCAAAAAAGGTAGTGGAGTAGCATTCAAGATTCAAAAGATGGAGACATAACTCTATAATCTTGTACCCAGCTAAGTTATCTTTACGGGTGTCCCATTCTGTCTGAATTGTGCTACTGAAATATTTGCTGTAACAACTTGCAAAAAAATTGGCTGGACACCTGTAGCTCTGTGGTTAGGGTGCTGGCCACATGTTCTGGGGCTGGTGGGTTCAAACCCAGCCCTGGCCAACTAAAAAAGAAAAGAAAAAAAAAATAGCCAGCATTGTGGCTGGTGGCTGTAGTTCCAGCTACTAGGGAGGCTGAGGCAAGAGAATCACTTGAGCCCAAGAGTTTGAGGTTGCTGTGAGCAATGATCCCATGTCTCTCTACTAAGGGTGACAAGGTGAGAGACTCTGTCTCAATAAAACAAAACGAAAACTTGCAAAAAAATTTACTGTGCATTTATGAACCAAATCCTTTCACCCGTGTTCACATGCACTTAATAGCAATGCCATTTAAGTAGAGAGTGAGTCTGGGAAAGAGGCAGTGCCTTTCAGTGTTACTTCAGCAGTCGTCCCAATGGGATACCATCTACTCTGGTTATCTGTTACACATGACAAATATCCTCAAGTTTAATAAAAACTTAAAACCAACAGTTGTGTTACCATTTTGCCTGGATCTGAGAATCGCCTTGCTCTAAGTCTCACTTCACTTGGGGGCACTCATCTTGCTGTGTTAGCTGACTGCAGAGGGTCAATCCATCTGAGTGAAGGCTTCTCGGCTCCCGTGTTGCTGTTGGCTGGGCGTTTCTCTATCCACATTGACCCTTCCGGATTGGCTCAGTGTCCTCACAGTTGAGTGAAGCACTTTATAAGCACTGCCCTAATCTTCCTGTCAGTAGTTTCCTTCCCTTTTGTATTTGTTTAGACATTTATAGATGCCCCAAAAATATAATACAGGCAAATGACGTGTAATGATCAAGTCAGCATAACTGAGGCGGCCATCACCTCAAGCACTTATCATTCTGCTGTGTTAGGAACATTCTAATTCCATCGAATGTCCTTGTGATGCAATCTTTCGGAGGTTTCTTTTATGGAAATCCTTTGGATAAGATCTACAACAAAGCAGTCCTTATAACCGTTTATAAGCTCTGAAAGGTACCTTCAAAAATCACATCCTATCATGCATAAAATATTCACCTACTATTTTGGTAACCTCAGTGAATAATTTATAAATAAGATATTTATAAAATGGGTCTCTTGTCTCTTCATGGCCTTTGGCTAAGATGAACTATAATATCTGTTCTTGACAGTTTAATATCTGATATTTCCTCTATCTGAGGATGCAATATTAAGCTGATTTGGGGGGTAGGAAATGGAATAAGGGCTTGCTCCAACTACTCTGCACGCCAACCTGGCATTGCAGTATGTCCAGGAATGGTATACTCCTCATGGGCGCGGGTATTTGTATTTCCAAAAATAGATGTATTTTGCCTTAATTGTTCTTATTTAGCTTCTTGGCTTTTACTGACTTTTTCTTCCTTTATTTTTTATGTAAAGCAGTCTTGGATATCTTAAATATTAAAGTGTAGTATAAAATAATAAATATGAACAAATGATTCCCTAAGCCAATATGTGTTTGAGGGGTAGCCATAATTATCATTTCTAAGTTTTTATACCTTTTTGAAGTCTCATCTTTAAGAGAGAACCAAGCCCTCACATCTGGTAGGCATCTTCCTTCCTCCTCTCTTCCCCCTCTCTCCCTTCCTCACAAAACACCATCTGCCTTGTCCAGATTTGTGGTTGTTTCCACGTTTTATTTATAAATATGGAATCTGGGAGGGAGATGTTAAGTCATACTGTGCCCTTAGTTAATAGGAATTATTTTACCTTCTTTCATGGCATAAGACCATTGGGCCCTGGAGGCTTGCTGGTCAGTGCAAAATGTTCTTTCTGAGAACCAGAAAAGTAGCATTCGCTAGTTACGACTCAAGTCATAGGCTCTTAACGATAGCCGTTTTACAACTCTTTTTGAGTGTATACTTTTTAATTCTCAAGAATTGTTACTCTTATTTTTAGAGAAACTTGCAATTTATTGGTCATAGTCCTAAAAAATATAAATCTGTTATAAGATAAAGACACATTTATGTGAAAGTAAACCGTTCTCTCACGGGTATGCCCAGATGTACTCCGGGGGCAGGGGGCGGGATATGTTCTAGACACACATACACACACGAATACACATATATGTCTCGGAGAAGTTGTGCAGAGTTGTCATAATTTTTAAGGCGGCCTGCTGTACTGCTGCTGAAACCGTCAGTGACCCACAATTGAAGATTAAATGGAGAGATGTTAAAACACAGCTGCAGTTGCCCTTCAAAGGATTTGCTTTCCGTTAGAACCAACTTAACTTTTAATAAAACATTTAGATGATGAACCCTCGGCATTATATTGGTAGAATTTTAAGCGTTTCGGTAGGGAGATTTGGAAAACACGCAAAATCAGTTAAAATATAAGTACGGATCTTCTTTTAACATTCATCACCCACCAATTGTGTATGTTTTGTATTAGACTAAAACTGATTGGAAGCAACTTGCAGGAGTTTCTTAATTTATTCCTTATTTTCTGATTTCTAAGCTGCTATCAGAAAAAATGGTTACCTAATTTTTAAACATGGTACAGGAGAAAGCCTTTTTCACATCTGTTCTCGGTAACCCAGTCTCTAACTTCCCTAATAGATAAAGGCTTTTATTGTGACCAGGCTATAGCTTTGGAGTTGTAATTCTGTTTTTGATTAGTGACAGTAAAAGGTAGAAAACATCTTATTTTTTAAAGGTAATTTTTACATATTTTGTGAGCCTTGGCATCTTTTTATGTTTCTTGGCAAAGCATTCTCTGTAGTCTTTTCTCAAAGTCCCTATTATTACTTATTTATTTTTTTGGCATCCTTGTTTGGATTTTTCTGACTTAAAAAAAAATCGTCAAAAGCCAAATAGGGTGTAATAGTCAAGCACAGTAAATGTGCAGTGCCCGTCTTATTTTCCCTTTGTGTCCTAAGCTGTGCCTGTTCATTGTTACAGACTTTTAAACTCAATTGTATTGATCAGTTTAGCTCGAGATTCTGTACCCATCCTCGAGGCCTCCCTGTTAAGATCATGAAAAGTTTGTTTTGCACGTATTACATCATAGCTCCCTGATACGCTTTATATAGTGTTTCTTGTCAAACTCCAGGTTTTGCCTTTTGCTACAATTGAATGGAATTTTGGAATCTGTTTCTTCTCCAATTGTTTAGAATCTGAATCCTCTCTTAGATACTTCTTGATTCAATGCTGATAAATTTTAAATTATTTTGTTTACATTTAAAATATTTTTGGGCAGCACCTGTGGCTCAAAGGAGTAAGGTGCCGGCCCCATATGCTGGAGGTGGCAGGTTCAAACCCAGACCTAGCCAAAAACTGCAAAAAATAAAAAAAAAGAAAGAAGAGAAAAAACAAGGATATATTTGGGGTGGCACCTTTGGCTCAGTGGGTAGGGCGCCGGTCCTATATACTGAGGGTGGCAGGTTCAAACCCAGCCCTGGCCAAAATGCAATAAAAAAATAGCTGGGCATTCTGGTGGGCACCTGTAGTCCCAGATACTCGGGAGACTGAGGCAAGAGAATCACCTAAGCCCAAGAGCTGGAGGTTGCTGTGAGCTGTGACACCATGGCACTTTACCAAGGGTGACAAAGTAAGACTCTCTTAAAAAAAAAAAAAAAGATTCATGTTTGTAAATGTTTGATTTCTCATGCTTTTCTTTCATACCTGAGTGAAATAAAACTGATCAGAACATACTGATATAAGCATGATGATAAGGAATACTTAGGACACTTATAGATATTATGTATGTATGTGCACGTGTATAGTAACTGCCTTTGATTTTAGTTTATATGTTTAATCATCTATACTTTTTCTGGGGAATGAAATACTATTTCCAAATGAAGAGAAATCCATTTTATTAAATATTCTTTATAAAAGATAATTAGCCATGTCTACTGTTTTAATATCTGGGAGTCATAGACAAAGATACTAGGATCAAGATAACCCGGCAAGGCTGTAGATTCTTTGAAACCTTAGACACATAATGTCTCTAATAATAATCATGAGGTCTACTGAACATGCTATTTAGAGTTCCCGGCCAAGGAGTTCCCTCCCTCATTGAAATCCATTACTGCTACTTGGGTAGTTAACAGAGATTGTACAGTGATCGAACATTTGTCTGGTTTACACTTGTGGACAGAGACTATTTTGGCAAATGTTTGTTTACATTCCTGGTCCTGAAAGGATAACAAAGAAAATATACCCTTGATCATCCTGGTCTTGTGTCAAACCAGTAATGGGCCCAGGCTTTGTTTTATGGATTTAATGGTTCGGCAATGTAAGTGAATGACCAGTTTATGGGGTTTGAGGAGTTTATGACTGACAGCAGGAAAGTAACACTGACTTCTTCTCCCCCTTAGGCAATTATACTTGTTATATCACAAAGGTGAAGAGAGAAATTATAGCATAATGAACAGCAGAATAAGCTTTGGGACCAGGCTACTTGAATTTAAATCCCAGCATCACCACTTACTGCCTGTGGCATCTTAGGTTATTTAATCTCTCTGATCCTCAGTTTCCTCTTCTGAAAAATGGGGATAAATATTTAGGATGCTTGATATCCCAGTTACCTGGATTTATTTATATGAATGGGTCAAATTATCACATGTACTGTGAAAATACGTACAGCTATTATGTCTCAGTGAAAAAAATTTTAAGTAAAAAAATAGGGGTAATTTAGTGTTGATTTCACAGGGATATTTTTAGTACTAAATGAGTTAACATATGTAAAGCACTTAGCGCCTGGCACCCAGCTTATACCTGTATGATGATGATTTAATAATTCGGAAGAAACTCAGAAACATCACCTTTCTGAGAGAGAAGGAAAGGCTTATCTGGGCTCCCTTCTTTCTTTAATCCAAGTAGTAACTTCTTGATACCACTGGCATTTGTGTCCCCAGGTCTGGGAGTTAATTTTAACTTTTCAGTTTCTAAGCACCAACTCTGCATCTGAGTTAGGCACAAGACCCAAGCATGAGAATTGTTTTAATTTTTTTCCAGTTGCAATTTTGTTTTCTTTCTCTCTCTCTCTCTTTTTTTTTTTTTGCAAACCAACTATGCCACTTTTCAAAACAGCAAACCTGTTTGCTGAATAAATCAAGAGATTGTGTAGAGTAACTCACGTTTCCAGAATATGAACATGGAAGAAATGAGTCTGTCGTGGCACTAAAGACCTGTACCACCTCGACTGGAGCATAATAAGGGCTCTTCCTTGGGTGTCCACGTGTCCCCTGACATGGGGAACTTGACATCTAGTTACATTCTTCTTGGGGCATCACCCACAAGTAGAACTTGGAAAATGGAGTCCAGGCAGAAAGCAGGTTGCTGCTTGTCATGTTTTGGAAGATTCCCAAGCCAATTTGGAAGGAGGTTGCCGTTTACTTTGAAGTCCTCTCAGTCTGTCTGTCTGTCCATCTGTCCTCCTTCCCTCCCTCTCCCCCTCCCTTTCTCCTGTCTACACCTTTTCAGCAGCACTTTATAGGATGTTCTTGCATCTTATTTTAACTTTGTACTGAATTACCTCTGAATCTTAAAAATAATTTGGACTTCTAGGAGTTGGTACATGGCTTGGGAACCTATATTTAAAAAAAAAAAAAAATCTCTGGAGGATTCTATCCCTGGGCTATAAACTGGCTTTTGAAACTTTTGGTCTAAAACTTTTCCAATTTCCAGCTGAAAAATAAGCATTCTATGTTTTATTTTTACCTTGAGTTTTGCCCCAGATACCATTGAGACTGAGTTGGTGTTGCTAAATGTGCTGCTTGGCCTGGGAATCTCAGGCTCTGCGGGCCTTCACTCCAGGGAATCATTGATACGAGAAATACAGGTTGTAGGCCTGGCCCACTGGGGAGCAATGGGGCTCAGGGGAACCCTGATATTGTATGGGACTGAGCAGGGAGGTTGATGCATTTCTCCAGCTTAGTATTTACTTATTAATTTGTTTGTTCAGCAGCCATTTAAATGATTATGAGATCAAAGGCATTTTGCTGGGCACAAGGGATCCAGAGTATAGTGGAAAGAGTATAGGTCTTGGAATCTGCCAGATGTTGGTTTGAATCACTGCTGAGCTATGTAATTTTGAGCTATTTACTTTACTTCTCTAAACCTATTTCCTCATTGGCAAAATGGAAAATAATGCTTACCTTGCAGGATTAGAAATAATACACAGAAGGCACCTTATATGGTGCTATAGTTTATTTAGCATTTGTATGCCAGGTGTCATATGTGGAATTTTATATATACTCTCTTTTACTCTTCACAGCAATGTTGAGGCGGGCACTATTACTATCACCAGTCTAGAAATGAGAAAGCTA